CCCCCCCCCCCCTACACTTAGGAAGATAGTCTGCACCGCCCTCCTCGGGCCTCTGCTGCCCGGATGGGTGGGGTTCTTCTCCTGGGAGATTCCAGAATTTTCTTTTCAGCAGCTTTATCCCTTTGAATCCCCTTCCAGATGTTAGATTTTTTTCTGCCCCCTACGTGCAGAACTCCCTGGAGGCTCCAAGCCACTAGCGTCACCTTTCCCTTTTACTAGGGACTGACTGCACCCCCATCTCCTTTCCCCTGCTCCTCCTAGTTACTTGGTTATTTTAATGAGGATTTGGGAGTGGGGGTGGGGACTCAGAAAGTTTATCTATGAGGCCCAGTTCAAGTTTAATAGGAACGGCTGGCATAGTTTGCTGATTTAAACCTTTGTGGCGGGAAAACAGCACAGGCTCGGGGCTGTGTTGAGTAAAAGGCTGTTAACACCCCCCACCCCCATTCTGTTTTTATAAGTAAAACCATACTGAATGTGTCATTTACTAGAGAAGTGGTTCTCAACCTTCCTCATGCTGCAACCCTTGAATACAGTTCCTCATGTTGTAGTGACCCCCCCAACTATAAAATTATTCTTGTTGCTACTTCATCACTGTCATTTTGCTACTGTGATGAATCGGGCGACCCCTGTGAAAGGGTTGTTGGACTCCCCCAAGGGAGTTGCGACCACAGGTTGAGAACCGTTGTCGTAGAGCAATGGTTCCCAAACACTTTTGGTCTCAGAACTCCTTTTGAATAACGGACCGAAGTAGACCCCAAACATGAGGAGCTTCCTCGGGAGTGGATGATATCTGGTTCCCGTGTGGTGGTAGAACTTCCAAAGGGCAACCATGCAGAGCTACACACTCAGGGTTTCCTGTCTAGCCCAGATGGTAGAGTGCGAGCCTCTTAATTTCAGAGCTGTGGGTTTGAGCCCCACGGTGGGTGGATGTGCAACTTAGTCCGCTGGAGCCCTAAAAACATCTGGTTTTGGAACTCCGCACTTGGTCAGCTTTCCTAGGTCTAGCCCCGGCCCCACGTGCTGTGCGTCCAAGAGACAATGAGTAAGGCGTGTCTTGACCCCGTGGGCCCTCTGGAAAGGTCTCAGGGTACCCCATGGGGTTTCGGATGACACTTTGAGAGCTATGAGGCTCTACCCTTGCTCTGTAGACTCCTACCTCCCATTAGTGGTAGGCCTGTGATCAGGGAGCTGGGCTGGGAGGAGAGGGGGCCGTTGCAGTGCAGACCGCCCTCCTATGAGGTGCGGGGAAAGGCCCTGCAGCTGGCAGCTGTGCCAGATAGCCCCTGGCCACTGACCCCGTGTCTTTTCCAGCAGTGCCCTGCAGTGGGGGCGGATTGTCAGCGGTGATGGGAGCTCCATCCATGGTTGAGGCTGGTGTTGCAGGTGCTGTCCCTAGCAAGAGTTTGATCTGCTAGTCCCAAGGGTCTTAGGCTGCTGGCTGTGCTTCTTAGGGGCCTGTGACTGGCTGAATGTCTTGAGAAGAGGCTCTCTAGTTGTTCTTCCAAGTCTCAGAGGCGTCCCCTCTCCGCTCGCTGCTGCTCTGGCTAGCGGCATGCCTTTGAGTTCCCAGAGAGATGAGTGTGTGTCGTGGTGCAAATCATTGAAGAGCAACATCCCACCCTGCAGGGCGCCGCTGAGAGCTAGCATGCTGCCTCGCTGTGTGTACAGCCCAGATGAAGGACCCCAGGGAACCCTGGGGTGCCGTGGTGACCGATTTTGGCTGCCAGCTGGAAGATTGGCAGTTAGAACCCAAAGATGATGGCCCAGGACGCGGGGTCACTGTGAGTCAGCATTGACTCGAGCGCCCATCGAGAGGAACGCCTGTAGAGGTGCTTCGGAGAGGTGCACGCTGTCGGATGCAAACGCACACACTGTGTGTGTCGAGCATCCTCATCCCAGCCGGCTTGGACCAGGGGCCCACGGGATGCAGTTGGTTTCCAGGCAGCTTCTGGTGGTCCGTGAGGCTATGCGCCCCGTGGTTTGGCCCATTTCATGACCTGATAAGTGGATTGAGCTGCTCCTGGGCCCGTTTGTCCGGGTGCACATCTGATGGGGGGATGCGTGGGCTGGAAGCAGGTGATTCCCCCCTAGCTTGTCACCCAGACCCACGTGCCGCCCTGTGCGCCCGTGTTCTCTGAAGACGGGGTGTCTTCAGAGTCTCTCAGTGACTGTGCCCCTTCCTCTGGATTATCCTGCAGATTTCCCGTAAGGAGCCCCTGCCGTGCACCAGAGCCCCCGGGAGCCATCTGCCCGGCTGCCCCAGACCCTGGCAGCGGGGCCTCCGATGGCAGTGGGCACCTCCCCGTGAAACCTGCCAAGCTGGACGCCACAGCTCTGCACGACGACACTTCGGCCAGCCCCGTGAGCCCTTCAGAGGTGTGCCACCATGCGGTCCTAGCCTGCAGCCCGGGCCTCCCCGAGGAGCAGTATGTAAGTGAGGCTGTGGAAGATGCTCCCAGCTACACAGGGTACCGGGATGCCTGCACCATTACTGGTAAGGAGGCCTTTGCCTGCCGGCAGGGAGGGAAAGGGATGGGGGAGGCAGCTGCATGAGCAGGGACTGGAGTGGGTGGGGGGTGCCCCAGAGTGCCAAGTGTCTGGTCTAGGGGGCTGAAAGAACTGGCATCCAGAGTCATTGTGGGACTTGTGTAAGGCTTGCTTCCATCGGAGCCTCAGGTTCCTGACGGGTAGCAGGAACCGTCAACCGTTACTGTCTCAGAGACCCACAGGGCCAGTTCTCTCCTGTCCTGTAGGGTCCCTCTGAGTGGCAGTGAGTTTGCCTCGGTGGCAGCGAGTTTGGCTTGGTGCAAGAGGGGCTGATGGCAGCAGCGCACAGAGTATGAAGCCTAAGACGGTACCCTGTGCGGTGCAGGGCAGACCCTGTGTGTTCATTCCGGCATCGTGCCCCACCTCAGAGGCTGTGTTTCTCAGACTTGCACCTGAGATCACAGACAGGGCCCATGACGTCACTGTGTATGGAACACAGGGACCGGGAGCCCCGGTGCTGCCGTGTGCAAACCAAGGAGCGCACGGGGCCCTGCTTGTTAGAAGAGCTGGGACAGTCACAGTGTCCCTGGAACTGGGGACACCAGACAAGTGCTTGGAGCTGGCCCTCCCTCGAGAGGGCTCTGGTGGGAAACAGTGCAGGAGGTTCTTGCAAAGCTATCGAGAGTAGAATATAAACAAATCAACAAACTCATACATGACAACTCATTGCGGCCTTGCAGGAATAGCACTGCCCGTTGGGTTTCCAAGGGGGCCGTCTCGGCAGATGGGGAAGTCTGCGGTATTTCTGATGTCTGTCTTCTGTCTTTGCCTTTGTGTAGTGTGTCTCTTGGCCGTTTTTAATACGCAGGTTTGCTCCCGGTCGCTTCTCATTGTTCTCTCTCCTGTGTGTCGACAGAGGCTTGGGTTCAGAGGGGCCCAAAGATAGTCAGGGATTCCCCCGCCCCCCTTCCCTTGAGTGACCTACATGCCTTCCTCTCCGCAGAGCTCAGCCCTGCTCCCCGCTGACCTGATCCCCGAAGGACGTGGCCCCAGCTGGCAGGATGCTTTTCTCTACTGAATCCCCAGTTTCCTCTCCCGCCACTAGGACCTCCCTATTTCTTCTCTCACAAGGAGCCACTTCTTCTTCTTTAAAATCATTTTCCTGGGGGCTCTTACAGCTCTTACAACAGTCCATACATCCATTGTGTCAAATATATTAGTACATAGGTTGCCATCATCATCCTTTTCAAAACATTTTCTTTCCACTTGAGTCTTTGGTATCAGCTTCTCATTTCCCCCTCCCTCTCTCCCTCCCTTCCCTCCCTCACGGAATCCTTGATAATTTACAAATCTTACACCAACCACTGTCTCCGTTCACCCATGTTTCTGTTGTTCAGCCCCCTGGTGGCGACAGGGTGGTTATCAGTTGCTCATTATGATCGGTTTCCCCTTTCTCACCCAACCTTCCCCCTACTCTCCTGGTATTGCTACTCCCATTATTGTTCCTGAGGGAGTTTATCTGTCCTGGATTCCCTTCTTTTAGCACAAAAGCATGCCATGATTTTTCCCTTCCCGGGGGCCCCCCTCTTCCCACAGGCTAATGCCCGGTGCCTGGGCTCTTTCTAGCAGAAAAAGTCTTTGAGGGCCTTGGGTGTGTTTGCTGACTCTTAGTTTCTCTTCTCCAGTCCTCCCCTGAGCCAGCCGCAGGCAGGCCTGGCCGCTCCCCTGCCCTGCCCTGCCCAAGCTCTGCCCTCTGGCAAGCCCGATAAACCCGTAGGCTGATCATCCTCCATCCTGCTCTGACTTGACTTTTCAGCTGTGATCGGCATTGTTGGCCACTCTCTGCTCCTGGAAACACGCCCCTCACATGGCTTCAGGGAAAACCTATGCTCTCCCTGCGCCCCGCGCGCGGGGGTGGGGGGTGGGGGGGGGAGGGGGCGGGCTGCCATGTGTTCTGCCCTCAATCCCTGAGCCAGCCCTCTATCCTGTTGTTGTTAGCCGGCTGTGAGACCATCCTGGCCCATCTCCGCCCCATGCACACTGGGCCCCTCCCCTGCCTGGTGCTTGGCCGCCCAAGGGATGGCATATTGTGGTCCAATGGGGTTTCCTTGGCTGACTTTCCAGAGGGCTTTTCTAACCGCCTGTCTTAGTCCTGAAGTTACTCTGAAACCTGCCTGGCACAGGAACACATGCACAAGGTGCACCGACCAGGCACCGGATCCAGGTCCTCCTGCAGGGTGGGAATTGGACCCAGGAATTCCCAGCACCTTCACACACACTCTTCCTTCATGGTCTTGTTTGGGATCCAGGCTTTTAAAAACCCATCGGTAACTTTCTGCCCTCATTCTGAATCTCGCCTCTGCAGACCCGCTTTCCCCTAGTTGCCTCAGAGGCACCTTGAAGAGGTAGAACTCCCCAACTCTACCTCCCTCTGCTACTCAGGTCCTCTCTCTGCCTTTAGGTGGCGCTTTCTTCCGCTCACCCAGGCCCCAACCCCCTGGAGGCATTCGCAGCGCCTGCCATGTATGCACCCGCTGCTGTGATCTCGACACTCAGTTGAGCGACTGTGATTTCACTCTTGAAGTCGGGCAGGCAGCTTTTCTGAGTCGTTCCTCCCTGATGGACGTGAATACTCACTGGCCCCAAGCTTCCCAGCCGGCTTTTCAAGTTGCTCTTGTTAATTTGATGAGCGTGGCGTTGGAAAGTACAGCGTCAGATGGTTTTATTCCTCTGCTCCAAACTGCCAGTGGGCTCTCACCTTGCGGTGCCTGTGAGGGTCTATATGATGAGGTCCCTGCCCCTCTGGCCTGCCTCCTGCCACTCCTTGCTGCCAGACATCAGCCTGGCTGATGACACACCAGCCTCCTCCTCCTCCTTGAGTGTGTTAGGAGCTTCCTGCCGCCGGGCCTTGGTTCCTGACCAGCCTTACCTTTCCCAATGTATCCACACCTGGTCTTCCTTTTGTCCAAATGGCATTTCATTGGAGACCTTGGTGACCTGCCCACCCATGCACCAGGGGGGTCCCTGTGCCACCTGTCCCCACTCTCTTTCCTACTTTGATTCTTCCCCATAGACTTACTGGCCTCTGAGCTGCCACATGGCTGCTCCTTGTCACCCTTGGAGTAGGACTTAAACTCCTGAAGGACGAGGACTGAGGACTGGGCGGCACCAAGTGAGTCCCAGGGAGGAGACGGGCACCGGCAAGGTGGCCAGTCGGTGCTCAGTGATCTGCGATGAATGAATGAATGATGTTGGTTCAGTATTGCCATGTGCCCACCCCCATGAAGTACGGGGCAGATAGCCCCATCACAGAAGGGGCCACATCTGGACTGAGGCCCATGTGTCCAGGGCTGTGCGGCCCAGAGCAGAGTCCTCTGCTGCTTGGCCTGCGAATCCCATCGAGCCCAGGAGCCGGAAGAGTGATTGTATAGCCGTTGTTAGTGGTGCCTGGCCAAGCTTCAGAAGGGGACGAGGGGGCCTGGGAGCTCCTGGAGGGCTTCGGGGGAGGGGGAGCAGTGTCTCAACTGCTCCTTCCCTTGATCCCTGGGAGTCCAGCTGGCCTGTGTGCTAGACAAACTCCAGGAGACAGCCAGCCTAGTCCAGGTTGTTTTTCTTTTCTGAACGGGGCAAAGACGTGCGTGCCTACCAGGCAGATCCTGGGGAATGTAGCCACTTGGATGGGACCAGCAGAACCCCGCCCGGTGTGCCGCCCGGGCCCCTCCGCCCCCCCACTCGCCGCCCCCCCCCCAGGCTTCCCCTCTGGCTGCAGCTGGGGAGACAGGAAGCTAAACACAGGCCCAGGGAAGTCCACAATGTGTGCAGCCGGCCTTGGCAGCACAAGCTTGGGTGAAAGTTTTAAGGGGGTCATTGAGATAAGTTTTATGGGGGTGGCATCACTGAGAGGAAGATGCAAAATGAACAAGTGCTGGGCAAGAACTCCGGGGGCGTCCCCGGAATGTGGCGGTGGCATTAGAAAGGGCAGCCCCAGACTTGGCTCCAGGCCCCTGGCCAGCACGCCCCGCCCCCAGTGCCCAGGAAGAAGCACCCAGAGGAACAGCACACTGGTTGTTCTGTCTCGCTTTTTAGGCAAAAGCCAACACCCTGCACCACCACCCCAACCCCCGCGGCTGCTCCCCAGCGTCAGGGTATCACATTTTGGGGTGCGTCCTTTTCTGCCCGGGGTGGTTTGACACACGGAGCCAAGAGGTGCCCGGGCCACTGGGAGTTACGTAAAGCAGTGTGATTCCAGGGCAGCTCACAGTCTTAGCATTTGCCCCAACAAGCAAAGTTGGGAAACTGCTGAGGACAGCTGGCCGGGCAGAGTGGTGGCTCGGGACTGACGGACTGCCCTGGCGGCTGCCCTTCGTCTCCGAGTGGCTTCAGAAGCCCACCTCTGCACATGGCCTTGGTCTTCCCCTTTGGGCAGTCCCCGCAGGCCTGGCCTCGGGTGGGACACTGCCAAGGCAAACATGCTCCTCCGCACCCCTGCGGTAAGTGCCGGCTGGCCTGTCTGCGGTTTGTTTTCTCTGTAGTGTGGCCCGAAGGGAGACAAGACCGCAGGGGCTCCTCTTGCCTTGCTCTGCATCCGGGGCTGGTGGCTGGGAAGTGGCATGATGGAATGGCTGACGGGCAGAGCCAGGGGAATTCGGTCGCCTCCCCCTGGTTGTGCAGACTCAGAAGAGGCACATGACCCGTGGGGAGAGATAGGGGTGGGATTTCAGGCTGAGTTGGGACCAGGTCACCCGTAGTCTGTCAAAATTCTCAGCCAGGGCTGAGCAGGGCCTCAGAAAGGCCTGCTTTCTTAGAGCCTAGCCTGGTGACTTGCTTGGGCCAGCCGGGGATTTTATATAGAACACATGTGAATGTATGCATATATGTATGTGTGTGTGTTCCTCATGAGGAGCGCTGGTGGTGTAGTCATGTGTTTGGCTGCTAACCTTAAGGGCACCAGTTTGAAACCATGCCTGTCAGGAGGTAGTTATAGGCTTGGAAACGCCCAGGGGCAGC